TCCTTTTAGTCTTCCTTCCCATTGTCTCTGCCTCCCTCATATTCTCAGAGTACAAACTGTTGGTTGAATAGACAACTGAATCCTCCTTAGTTTTGTATTTCTGTAGCTATGAATGACCACAAACAGTGACAAAACACCAAAATTTTATTTTGTGTTCCAAATCCAAGATGGAGGTACAGGTATGGCTGCATTCCTTCTGGACACTCTAGGAGAGAACCTCTCTCTTTCCTCTTGCCTCCTGGAACACTCCTGCACTCCTTGGCTCATAGGGTCTTCCACCCTCATCAGTGTCATCATTCTGGCCTCTGAGTCCATCCTCATATTCTGTTTTTCTGACTGTCATCTATGTCTCCCTCTTCTCTATAAGGACCTTTATGATTATACTAAGCCTGATGGATAATCCAAAATCATCTCCTCATATCAATTAATTTATTCATACCTGCGAAGTCTCTTTTGGCATACAAACTGACATAGCTACTGATCTGAGGGTTAGAAGATGCACACCTCTAAGGGTCATTATTCTATGGACTACAGGGCCAGAAAACAAAAGTTACATCTCCAGTACTCTTGTTCACTTTGTGTTGTTTTGTGTTTGTTTGGTTTTATGCTTTTTTAAGGCTAAGTACTGTAACCCTATATCTGCTCCTTTGTGAAATAAGACTCATAATAGAATCTTATAGGATTACTGTAAAGATTAGACGACATTGCACCATGCCTATCAGACTCAGTACTCCATAAATATTAATTACTATTATTTTAATCAGCAACATATGCAAATAAATCTGTTGTCACAGATAATAAATGCATTGGCCTGGAAGACCTCTGTGAGAGATTATCTGGGTTTTACATTGGACTAGACTGAATGATGCTGAGGAAAAATGGCATTGTCATTTGTGCATTGTGTCTGGAAAGGTTATTTCAGAGACGAGATGTGTGTCTGTGAATTAAGGTGTGCAGCAGGGGGAGGTTGGAGGATGGGACTGGCCTGGAATATGAGTAGCATCATCCAGTGGGCTAGAGGACCAGATGGAACACAAAACAGAATTTATGTGAAGTTCTCAGCTCTTGTTGAGGTGCAGTGAGGTTTGTTGGTGGTGGTACTGCTGCTGCTGCTGCTGCTGCTGAGGCTGCCACCCACAGACAAGAGATTCCAGCTTCTGAGACTTTGGAAGCAGAATTGAAACAGCAGACTTATTTGGGAACTTCAGGGTCTTCTGCCTCTGACTGGAGCTGTATCAGTGATCTGTCTTGTTTTTTTGCTTTCATTAATTTTATTGGTACATTCACAGTAAATGATACAGTTACATTTATCACTGGGACCTTGTACCTTTACATGATATATCTTGGTTGTAGTTTTTTCCCCATATCCCTGTCCTCCCTTCACTCACTTCACCTGATCTCTCTTGTTTTAATGCTTCCAGCCTCCTGCAATGATTAGCTGCTACACTGGGGGCTCTTCAGTCTATAGGCAGCCTTTGCGGGGTTATCTGGACTCAACTCATGTCAACAACTAAAATAAATCCCCTCTGATAAATATAATACATTCTGTTCATTATTTTTTTGTGGAGAACCCCAACTATTATACCCATGTAATAATTTCTAATTGCAAATACAATTTGGATATTAAAAATATTATTATATAGTTAAACTAAAGACAAGTAACAAAAGGAAAGTAGACCGATGAATTTAATCATTTACTTAATTTTTAAGTAAATTTATTGAATTTTAGTTTTGATCTAATGCATCTGCAGGGATTAGCTTTAGGATCCCTTGCAGATACCCAAATTCTTCTCAAGTCCCTTTAACAGAATGGGTTAATATTTATATATAACACATACATCCCTAATAGACTTTCAATCACCTCCGGGTTACTTTTAACTGTACAGTAATTTGGTTTACTAATTAAAGTAATGAATAAAAGTATGAAACTAAACATAAACTTAATATAGTGCATATGCTATGTAACTGATTGTTATACTGTATTGTTTAGGGCATAATGACAAAGAAGAATATCTGGATGTTCAATACAAGCACACACAACCATGTTAAGCCTAAGTAAACAGCATAAGCCAGCAACAACCTAACTCTTTTTCCAGATATTTTCTGTCATTGGTTGAATCCACAAATCCACAACTTTAGGCTCTACAGAGCCAAATGTATGTATACTTGTTGAGTATCTATTATGGAGAAGGCCCTGTGATACTCATATTTGGATCAATGTTGACTTTTAAAAGGAGTCTGGTGATAAGACAAAATCAAGATTATTCTAACCTGACAAATAAGAGCACTGACTTGTTGATATATTCCTACTTTCTTGGAAAAGAGATGGTAGCGTTAGGATTTTGGTGATATTTTAGAAAATGTTTTACAGAGAGTTGAAAAAGAATTACGATATAGTAATTTATAGTGGTGGACATAGTAATGGAGGGTTTTGAGGTGAAGATTTTCAAAGAGTCTTGAAGAATAAATAATCATATGATACTGTCCATCGAAAAGTTGGTCTAATGTATTTAAATTGTTTTTCCAGGAAGCTTCTAAATGAACATAAAGTTACTTGAAACTTGGGTAAGAATTTCCTGGAATAGTAAACTGAGGTTGATGAAGACAATAGAATAGTAAAATAACATTGGTGAAGACAGCCTAATGGTACTGCCTGCCCGGTTATGATAATGTAGAAAGAAGCCGTTCACTGTAGATGGTTTCAGCTTTTATTTTAGTGACTCAAAGATGAATAGGACATAGTTAATATTCTAAGAGTATCTAATAGGATGTGAAAGTTTTATATATAAGCTAAAATGAATTGCTACTGGTTACAAAATATATATCTATTGAGAAAAAATAAAGAAAAATATAAAGAAGAAAGAAAAGGTCACCAATTTCCACCAACATAATGGAACAGTCCTAACATTCTGATGTTTGTATGTTATGTTTACATGTATGGTTTCTATGTATAGATAATAATGTAATCATGACAAAATGTATATATATATATATTTAACAAAAGTGGAAACCATGTTATCATTAAATGTTGTAGCCAGCTTTATTTTCAATTTAATTCAAAGGTTCAAGATTATTTTCTGTGGTTTTGTCCATTGTTTGAAAAGTTATTTTATTCTTTATTCTCTCTGTCTCTCTGTCTCTTTCTGTCTCTCTCTCTCTAATATATATATATATACATATCCTAATTTGTTTTACCAGACAATTGTAGTTTGTTGGGTCTCTTTTTTTTTCATGGTACTAGGAATTGAATCCATGACCTCTACACTGAGCTACATCCACAGCACTTTTAAATTGAGACACGATCGCCCTAAGTCACTAAGTCATTGCCAAGGTATGACTCAAACTTGCAAATCTCCTGCCTCTGCCACCCAAAGTGCTGAGATTCAGACTTGTGCTATCATGCTTGGTTTGTTTGCTGTTCTCTTAACTTTTTATTATTCTCTAATAGATGTAGTATCTGTCTTTTATTTTTTCCTACATTGTGAGAATTTTTTCCATTTTTCTCCTTTTCATCAGTGTAAGTTTGCACTGCACAGTAACTATATCCTTCGTAGGAAGTTGGTGCATGTACAGATCGCATCTTTTTTACTTCCCTTTTCCCTCCCCTCCCTCTGAACTCCTGCAGTCCCAGATCCACTTTCTGTCTAAAGAGAGTCCATGTCCCTGTTTCCTATCACTTATCTATGTAAACATTCGTCTTTATTCAAGAAGTGAATTCACTAAGTAAAGAATGGATGAAAAATTACTATTAATGGTCATTTTTATAATAAAATACTGTGAATCTTTAATTATCCACTTATCAACATTTCTAAAACTCGTGACTATTTTATTTTTATGATCTTTCAATTAGAAAATTATGTACTGAAACCTAGGAATCTTTTTTTTTGCTCAAAAGTAATGAGAATACTTAATTTATAGAATTATTTTGAGACTTTCTGAGTCAGTACTTCATAACAGCATCTATCAATAATGATAGAGAAAAATGGGTGCAGCTTCCATTTACTGGTTGTACTTAGACCAAAATATATGAATGTAACCATAAAATTTTTTCAAAGTCTCATCTCTGTCTTTAAATAATTTATATAGTTGATAGTGTGAACATTTCATTTTTAAAAATCAAATAATTTTTCTCAAACTTGTAATCATAATTGACTCTCTGTGAAGATGCCAGAAGTTTTACTATACTTAACTATGACAGCTACATTTGGATGAGTGTTTATATTCTAATTTGAGGCTCATGATGACCATAACAAAATTCATGAAATATTGAAATTGTCACATGTCTGCCTTCACTTGGAAAGAAAAATAAGTCACCAAAGAAGGAAATTTTAAGTATTTATGTTTAACAGTGTGTTCTAAGTAGAAAATCTTAGGAGAAAAACTAAAATAAAAATATTAAATTAATTGAATAAATATATTTAAATTAATTGATTTATAATGGTAGCAAGAAGCCAGTATTTGATAGACTCAGCTGAACTGCACAGAAAAAAAAAAAAAAAAGGGGAAGGATGACCTGAAAGTCAAGGAAGAGCTTGCATCATGGCAAGGAAAAGAAATCAAAGTGGAAATGGATGTATTATTTTCATGAACCCCTGACAAAATACAAAAGTCAAAGAAAGTCAATAATTTAGAGAAAGTCCTCTGTGATGAGTGAAGTAAGAATACACAAAAGTGGAGTGTTTTTTAAGTTTGGGGAAATTTATGGCTCAAGACTGGGAAGTATCTCAAAAGGCAAGAGAGCAATCCAATGAAAGTAAGAATAAGGATATGTAACCTCCTAGAACCTCCAGCACATTGCTGGAGTAAAAAAGCTCATCTGCAAAAGAAAACAAAAATTACAAATATGATAATGTAGGACCTAGATCGGCTTAAGGTCATTCTGAAGTAGAATACATCAGAAAGAATAGAATATATCAGAAAGGAATGGAGTTGCCAAAGTCATAGATTTTACTTTTCATAACAGTGATTAAAGTGGCTATTATTGGAGTCATATTGCTTACTTTTTTTCAGATTCTGGCCAGGTAGTAGGATAAGGATGCTGGAAAAAGGATATCTGGTGGTGCATGCCTGAAATCGCTGTCCTTTGGGAGATTGCCACAGAAGGATCTCAAGTTTTGTCCAGCCTGGGCTTTTTAGCAAGACTATCTGAAAAAAAAAATGCAAAAGACTTCAGAATGTAGTTCAGCGTTCAGTCCACAGTACTAAAACAAACAAATAAACAAGCAAAAATACAAAAAGAAATGAATTGACTCTCCAACACATAAAAAATGGGATAGAGATCAAGTACACTGAAAAATGATGGAGAGGTTTAATATGTACAGTTTTAGTTCTGTTTTGTTGACATGAATAATTTAGAGTCCAAGCTCTTAGAATCAGTGTATACATTGGAATATATTTTGTACTTTGAATTTTAAAGAACTTGATCTCATAAACAGAAAGTAAAATGGTGGTTATCAGTGGTTGGGAGAAGTGACGAAGGGTTGGTTAGTCGATATTTTGTTGGATTTAGATTAGAAGAATTAAATTTGGTTTTCTGTTGTACACTAGGGTGATAATAGTTAAAAATAATGTACATTTCAAAAGCTGTAGAAGGGAGGTGCTGAACATTTTTATCACAAAAAATGATGTATATTTGAAGTTATGGATTTCAATTACCTTGACTTGATCATTAGAAAATTGATATATGCATCAAAACATCAGAACAAACCCTGTAAATACATATAATTACTTTTATCAGTTAGAAATAAATTCACTTCGCTCAGATATTGATTGAAATGGATGTTTCGAAATATTTTGAAGAACAGAAATAAGAAAAGTCATATGATTAGTAAGTAGCCTACTTTCGATGTAAAACTGACAGTACTCCACTGTCCCATAAAGAAAATAATAGGTATAAATACTTCAGAAAAAAAAACAAATATAAAAAGGAGTATGAGGAGTTCTAATCTGGTGAGAGACATTAAGTGAAAAAGAATAAGGCCAAGAATACAGAAATGATTTATTGCTACTCGAGCATGCATAAATGTGACAAAACCTCAATGAATAGAAAAATAAAGATGTTAAATAAGATGGCTATGGTAATTAGTGTGATATGAATTATGACCAGAGATCAAAATTATGATTTGTAGGGGAAGGAGATGGAAATAAAGGAAATGATTTAGAATATTCTGTGATTAGAGTAAAATAATACAGAACAACTAAGAATTAAATGAAGATGTCTTAGCATAGCACAAAAAAGATTTATTATAATGAGAAAAGATGGAAATTGATTTAAGAAAGCACAAAGTAAAGAAGTAATATAAGACCAAAGTGGTATATAAGATCATCTACTATATGAACCTTGACAGTTTTTAAGTTGTTTTTCAGAAAATTAAAACAATTATTTTATAGAACACTGATTATGTGAGATTCTCCCATTATGGCTAACAAAGGAATACAATATTTATTTGAAAATATGACCACTGAACAGAATATAAAACAAATATATAGAATAATTGAATTTTTCCTACTATTATATAAAAAGCTTTTGCAATATAAATCACAGAATTGCTTTGTTTATGATGATTCTTTTAGAAGTTAATTCGTACATGTGACAGCCTATATTTAAAAAGAATTGAGACTTACATATTTGGAAGGCTTAAGTTTTATTTTCTTGTTCATTAGCTGAGTTGTTTTAGAGCAATTATTCTCCAATTGTTCAAGGCAACGTGAAGTGCCTATTAATAATTTATTTTTCGTATTAAGTTTCTGGATACTGATTTCAACTCTAGGTGCTGTCTTCCCAGATTAGTGAAAAGTAACAAAGTTCTTTTGAAGATGTCTCTAGTTTAAACCAATCTACTTTTTGTGGTTTTCTGAGATAACAAAACCTCTATTACACACTTTGGTAAAAATTATGATTGTTATTATTGAAATTGACTAAGCACTCCAATCACACTAAGGCATTATAAAGTAGTAATTTCTGCTAATAAAAAGTTGAGCTACACCTATACTTATATATAATAACATCAACTGTCACCATGATTAGGCAGGGTCATAATGGGCTAAACAAAGAGGTAAACAATTGTTAATATTAAATATATAGAGATCAGGGCCTGGGATTTAGCTCAGTGGTGTCTCAGCCTCCATTGCAAGTGTAAGGACCCAAGTTCAATCCCCGGTACCAAAAGAAAAACAAATTAAATAGATAGATAGATAGATAGATAGATGGATAGATAGATAGATAGATCATCTTCATAAATGTTATTATAAAGAAAATATAAATCTATACCAAAATTAGTTTTTTGGGCATTTATTGTCACAAAATGTGGAATAGCTTTTGCAAAAATATGACAAATGAAAAAAATATAAAAATGTGAAAAGTTTTCCTCTGTAAGAATACAACTATGTTTATTTTTAATTGACACATAGTTGAACATGTTTCTGAGGTGCAGTATGGCATTTCAATACATACATATAATGTTCAGTTTTCAAATCAAGGTAAGAGATATCCATCAGTTCTAGCATTTATCTATCATTTGTGTTGAGAATATTTAGAATATAATTATAGATTGTGAGCATATTTTTGAAGAATGAAAATGACTTAGTATAGAAGATAGAAAAATCACTAAATAATTATGTCCAAAAGGAGAAACAATCTGTTCATTTAAAATTAAGTATATGACTTTGAAATTTTCACAGACTATAATTTTTGTTTTATTCTTTGACACTATTAAAGCTAATTGCTAAAAATTTCAAAATATGTAAAATATGAATGTTAACATTTATTTAAAAAGTGATTTTCTTATGTCAGAACACAAAAACTCTTTTCTTACCTGCACAATAATACCTAAAGAGACTTTTTTCCTGATGGTTTGTACCACACATGTACTTGCACTTCTTGTTAAGTCTAACATCAAGAATAGGCTGAATTTAGTCACGATCATTCAGAACATTGTGGCAAAAGTCAGATTAATTAAGTAACAAATAAACTTCCTAAAAGAGAAAACATACAATAACATTAAGTTTCATCAAAACTATTATGAAAGCAACTAAAGAGATGGCTGGTAATAATTGAAAAAAATAATCAGCAAATTTAGAAGAATTTGAAACACATTTGTTTTAAGACAAAATGAGAGAGTGGGCAGGGGATTTACCTCAGTGGTTCCGGCGCCTGCCTCACAAGCACAAGGGCCTGAGTTCAATCCCTGTTACCAAACTAAAGAGTATAAACAAAGATGAATTGAGAGACAAAGCTGAAAACAGACACAAAAGTGCACCTTAATGTTCAATATTTATTATGAATGAAGATAGAACTATTTCACACATTATCAATGGGGCCTGAATTAAGTACATGCTTATATTTCATTTTTATCTTTTACTTGTTAGTTATAAATTATTTTCTTACTCTGTAGTGACTATGCCACAAATCAGTCTTGATTTATTAATGACTAAATTATGTTAATATTTTCATACTTCCAAGATGACAAGTATCAAAGAGTGCTATTCCTTAGCTCTTGATTTTTGTGTTGTTAGTGTTTTTATGTGTATAAAATTTAAACTTCTCAACATATTATTATTATTCCTATATCAACCTACACTTTTATTTACCCACATCTCCATGCCTTTCAATAATTCTGTTGTCTACAAAGTCTCTTACTAACCCTTTATTTTTTGACAAACATCCTGTTGGAAATACCAAGCATGATGGAAATAAATTATTGATTTTAGTGTGCATAGAATACCTTCAATTCCCTTTCATTCTTTCTCTACATGCTATGAGATGTATGTAAGTCTAGGTAAGCAGTTATTTTATTTCAGTACTTGTGTTGTCTTCTGAGTTCATTCATTATTTTAGTTCTGAAACAGATCTTATGCTTATTTGTCTATTTGCAAGTACGGTGCCTTTTTTTCTGACTGCTTTTAGTTTGGTCTTTACAAGTTTTACTATGTTGTTGCTTCATGGCTTTTGTTGTATTTCTCCTGTTTGTGTGTTAAGATTATCTGAATCCATGTATTGTTTCTTCCATTGGTTATGGAAAAATTTTACTATTGGATCTTTCAATATTAATTGCTCTCCTATACCCTTTTTCAGAACTCAACTTTACGCATGCATGTGATCTGTTCTCAGTGTTTGGCATGGCTTCAGCTCTTTCACATATTTTCATCTTTTTTACCTACTTGTGTTTTAGTTGTGATATTTTCCCTAACCGTGACACTTCACTGATTCTCGCTTTTTGTAGTAGAATCTATAGTTACTTCTATCAACTAAGTTTTAAAATTCAGATATGCATTTTTCTCTGAAATTTTAATTCTGTTTGTTTTTATTATTTCCTATCCTCATTGTAAATTCATTTTTACTTTTGTCTCTTACACTATTAAACATATTAATCAAGTCCAGGTCAGATGACTCTATTATTTAGATATTTTGTGGCTCTGTTTCCTAAAATTGCTTCCCTTGCACTCTTCTGTTTTGCTCAGATTTGTATTCTTGTATGTCTAAGGTAGTTGTGATTTCTGGTTGGGGTGTATAGAATACTTTCTTCAGAAAGCATAGGATTCTGCATAATCTTGATTTCTAGACAAAGTTTGCTTTTGTTAATTATTTGCTTAATCCAGTTGATTTTCCTAATTCAGTTGAGTTGATTTAAAATTGAATCTATTTATCATCAGAGTTAAAGCATAGCCCTCTGGGAATACACTTGCCCAGTTCTGCGATTTTTCAGGGCACACTCTCTCCTTTGCACAGACTCCTGAGTTTCATTTTTCTTGTATTTTTCTTGTTCCATAAGATTGTTTCATACATGCTCAATCCCAAAACTCCTTTAGTGCAACTTTCACTTTTTGTATGAGAGGTAAAATTGGAGACACATGAATCACTTGACTACTTATCTTTCCATATTTTGGAAATCTCATCTTTACTAGATGCTTAGCTGGAGGGCTAGTTGAAGACCATTTAGTCTGCCATTTCTAGAAATGAATTGGTTTGTTCATGCATAAAACCTAGACTCACGGATTTAAGAATTCCCAATATGTTTCCTCAAAGAGAAATTAAACCACTGTGTGCCAGGCATATAGCTCAGGTGACATCAAGCCTGCCTCTGAAGTGCAATGAATTCCTTTCCTGGTACTGGCAAGAAAGAAAAAAGAGGAAAGGAAGGGGGGGAGAGGAGAGAGGGAGAAGGAGGAGAGAGGGAGGAGGAGAAGGAGGGAGAAGAAAAGAAGAAAAGAAAGAAAGAAAAAGAAAGAAAGAAAGAAAGAAAGAAAGAAAGAAAGAAAGAAAGAAAGAAAGGAAGAGAGGAAGGAAGAAAAGCAAGCAAGAAAAAGAAATTGTAATCATTTGTAGAAAGAAATGCATAGCTCTTCTTAGATCATCACCATTTAAGGCAGGCTGTAGATTTCATGAAAAGAGATAACTATATGTTAAACATAATTCAAACAATTTTTCTAAGAAAAATCTGACACTCGAATCATAAACACATTCAGTACTCATAGTTAAATTTCTAGACACAATCCCTAAGCTTAATTATTATTATTTTTTTCAGCTATAATTGAGTTTATTGGTACATTCTAGGGATACAGTACAGTTACATTCATTGTTGGGATCTTGTACCTCTACATGACAGGTCTTGGTTCTCATTTTTTCCCCTTGTCCCTGCCCTCCCTTCACCCCCTCCTCCCCTCCCCATCTACAAACACTTTATTTCCATCATTTCATTTTCTCACATTTTTTTCTTTTCCCTTATTACCCTTCCCCTACCCATCCCACCTTCCCTACACCTTTAGCTCCTTTCTTCCTATTTCTCAATGTCAGTAATCTTATTAGGATCTTCTGTATTACTGCAGATTATTCACACCAGAGAAACTATTCACTATTTACACATAGGTGCCTTATTTATTTCACTTGGGAGTATATCTTCAATATGTATCCATTTTCCTATAAATTAATCTATTTTCTCATTCTTTATGGTTGAGTAATTATTATTTTTTATGGAGGCTGATGCTGGGAATTTAATCCCAGGCCTCAAGCTTGGTAAACACATGATATATACCTGTTGGTACACATGCTCCAAATTACTTAAATTTGGTAACAATATACCTTTAGAACAACACTAATCATAAATATCACTTCCATTCTAACTATAACTATAACTATAAAACTACTTCAAACATATCTACATGGAAGCAATAGAATTTTTGGGGAAATATTGAATGATTTCGTTTTCAACATCATTAGTAAATTGAAAACTGTTCAGATTACTGAGCATTTTACAAGAATGCGTTTGCATTCACAACGAAATAGACACAATAATTCATACTATTTTTCTAAGGGAAAAATATCAAAAGATTACATAGGATGTCTGGGATTTTACTGAGTTTCCAGTCTGCTTCCTACATTTGCCTAGTTTTATTTGTTGTTTTATCCTAATATATTATTTTATTGTCATTTTCATACTAACTTCTTATAATATTTCTGATATACTGACCCAGCAGATAGAAAATTCCTGAAGAAAAGGATTAATTTTTTAAAAATTCCATAATGCTGTGAAGTCATGAAAATGTTTTTTTTTTTGTGAGAATGGTCAGTAATGCACAGTTTTGTAATATAATTTATAAATGAATGGAGAAATGAATGTGAATGTATAAAAAGATATTGTAAGCAATGTTTATATTCTTTGGCATAGACTATGTGAACTTGATTTTACTTTGCAATTCTAGAGATTGAACTTGGGTCCTGGAGCATTTTAAGACAGTGCTCTACCGCTGAGCTATGGTCCCAGCTCACATGTACTTATTTGAAAACAATTATGATGCCATTTAATAAAAAATTAATTCAATTTTTTAATAGTAATATTGGGTGAAATGTAAAACAACTGTATTTTCATTCATATTGGATTTACTGATCAGTAAGAAATTTCTCCTCTGGGTTGCTCATTGGATACTATGTTAAGCAATGCATTATTCTCTAATGAAGAAATTAAAATACACTCTTTTATTATATGCTCTTGATGCTGCAGCAATAGTTAAATGTTACCCACAAAGCACACGTCGGAATATTGAGAACATGTGAAGGAATTGTTTAGGAATTAAATTTTCCTTTAAAATTTGTCTTCAGATATATTTTCCCCTAATTTAACAATTTCTCATATCTTCGCCATAAAAGTGAAAACATTAAAGAAACAAGTTTGGATTATTCTTACTCCATAGAAAATAAATATCCTTGCTGTTCCCATAGTTATCTATTTCACTAGTAATCAGTCTTTCTCTTTATCAAAATTACTCTCCAAGCAGGCATTGGTACTCTTTCTTTTCTTTTGGACAACTTCTAATTTCATAGAATTTTAATGTTCTACAAAGCATTTCCTGGTCCTTATTCCTTCTTTCTTTACTTTATTTTCTCTTCCAAGAAGCATGCCAATCATCACAAAGCCTTGCTCTTGTATTTTTGAAAGACTATTTTTCTATCACTTTGGATAAATAACCAAATAATTGGCATTTTAAAATATTGATAAATATTTTATAAATATTTGTAGCAGCCACTGTTTGAAGCAGCTCTGTATTCTAATCAACTGTCTCTTGCAAGTGGATGCACTTTTTAATATATTTAAAGCACATTTGCATAATATGGTATCATAAGAACTAAAGAAATTTTGTCATATTTCCATTAATGATATTAAAAATGATTTAGAGAATTATTGTCCATGTATTCTTTTTTAATCTATTTGAATCTTATAGATATAAGTCTCTGCCCGGTAATTGAAGAAAAGAATAGTAAGTAACAAGGAATAGTAAAATAAGTAACTAATAGTCTAAGGCCTTTGCTAACTACATGATTTATGAACAAAACCTTAGTAGAGTATTTTTAATTCCTTCTAATGTGGCCCATGATCAATTAGGTAAG